CTCTTGTTCCCAACAATCACTGGGGTGCTTTCTGCTGGCCTGGCAGGATTGCTGCTTGCAATGGTGAGGAGGTGCCATCAGCACCCTTTGTGTACTCTTTGCATAAGGGGACAGGGCAGCCAGTGCCAGCCAGGTTTTTAAAAATGCATTGGAAGAGTTGAATGATTCTATTCAGTTGCCTGCCTGGCTGGGAAGGTGCAGCATGTGACTCCTGCGGCAGTGCTCAAGTCCCTGAGAGGCCCGCAGCCCTAGCTGATGGGCTGAGCTAGCAGGTTCCTCAGCCTCTAGAACACGCCTGCACCCACAGGGGGCTGGCCGCCCTGCCAAACGGCGGAGAAGCAGCAGAGGATGAGAATGTTGGCGCAGGCAAGATGCTCAGCTCTGTGGGCCTTTGATGCTTCAGGGCCTCTGAACCTCAGAGGATGCAGGGCTATTCCAGAAAGTTCAGCCAAGGGAAGATCTGCCAGATTTTCCTTAGGTCATAGCATCTAAGCAAGTCACCCTGTTAACCACCAGCGAGATAACTTGGAAATAAGAACTTTAAAGGTTCTAGTGCTTGAGTTTACTTCCTTTCTCTTAGAACAAAGTCACCATTTGACATCGTGACTGTAGAAACATCGGGCGTAGGATTTCATTTTCTGGTCTGTGGAAGCCACTAGTGTGGCTCCTGGCAAAGGTTCTCCCACGTGTGTTCCGTGGGGCAGTGGCCGCAGAGCCTGGGAGCTCGCCAGAAACGCAGGCCTCAGGCCCCACCGCAGAGCCGGGACAGGACCTGCACTTCGTCCAGTCCCCAGCCGGTGCGCGGCCCGTGGGAGCGTGAACAGCACTCTGATTCCCAGGACAGTCTAGGTTCAGCCTGCAGGCACCGTCAGCTCAGGAGAGGCTTCATGTGGAAGTCTCCAGGGTCAGGATTTGGGGTGATGGAAGATGACATGTGGTTGGTCCACTTTCTAAAGAAAGAGGGGCCACGGTGAATTCCAGTTAGCTGGTCCCCGAGACTCAGCCACTAGGGGCCAGACTCAGTATACGTCCCTCTGTGATGCAGGTGCAGTGCAAGCGGCCACAGGCTAGGGCCACAGTTCTGGTATCCCCACCCCTCCCGTCACTCTGCTTCATGTGGACGACCCTGCCCACTGGAGGACCCGCACCATAGCATCTTTGGTCCACAGAAAGGTGCTCCTGGAACTCTTTCTCAAAGGCAGAGGATGTGTCTTTTCTCTCACAATGTGCACATAGTAGGCTTTGCGCTGACCTCGTGGGTGTCCTGCGCTGTCCTGGGCATCACGGCCACCACGCCCTGACCTGCGACCCGTGGGCAGGACGGCAACCTGATAAAGGAGGGAAGGGTGTCAGGCCACCCCGCACCGAGGCCCCTGGGTCATACGGTACATTTCCTGCCTCTAACTACTTACCAGTCCTGGCGGCTGTTTCCTTTGCTCTGTGACAGAGGAAGCTGACCTCGCCGGGGTTTAAAGCCCGCTCAGCCCTGGCCATTGCTTGTCACGGTTTTTCCTCAGGTGGCAGGTCACTGGGGGCAGAGGCATATTTTCCAAACGCCTTTGTGGCTCAGTCATCAAGGATGCCTTCATTTCTAGAGAGGTGTGGGCAGGGGCTACGCTGATTACAGGGCTCGAGCGAGGCCCTGAACACATCTCGGGTTTGGAATGCACATTGTCGTCTGCAGTAATTACAGTTTGCGCCCCGGCCCTGCTCAGCCCCCGTGGTCATTATCCTGGTGCAGAATAAGCAGCTTTGTGCTTTTGGAGTGGGAGGTAATGAGGGGGAGAGGGCCGCCTGAGGGACATTAAGGGGTGTTTTCAAAGCCCGTCTCCAAGCGTGAGTGGGAGAAGGACAGATGAAGAGGCGTGCTGGCGAGCTCTGTGGCATGGGCCGGGAACCCAGCCTGTCTGAGCCTGTCTCAGAGGGTTGCCGGGGTGATGAGAGAGGGTGGTGATGTGAAGGATGCCAGCGCAGTGCCTGGGTCAGAGTAGGTGCTGAATAAGGTGGGATTTCCCTGCCCAGCAGACACTGTTGGGGTGGGGATCTGCAATGGGAAGGCACTGCCCGAGCATACATTAGTTACCCCCCCTGGTTCCGCAGAGGGGCAGCGGCGATCCTTCCCGTGCTTCACAGGTCTGTAGAATTGAGGGCTGACTTCGTATGCTGGCTTGGGTCAGACTTCCTGAGAATTGGTCTGGCTGTGTGCCCTTTGGTGATTTGATGACCATTTCTGAGCCACTGGCTTTCTCATTTATAAAATGGACATCCTAACTGTACATGATTCACAGCATTGCTGGGAAGATTCTGTGTGAGAAATGCATGTAAACTGACCGCCAGTGCTTGGCACAAACTCTACTGTTAGCTAGGGAAGGAAATGAAGGTTTTAAGGGTGGACTTCCCAAGTCTGGGCTCATATGTGGTGGAGCCTGGACACTGGCCTAGCAGACTGGCTCTAGAGTCCACATTAGTGTCCCTGTCCCCCTACCTGAAAGTGGTCAGAAGTCAGTGGCAGGCACAACTCAAGCACCTGCTTTTGGAACTCTATTCCTCAGACCCCTCATTTTTTGTTACAGATTCTTTCTTAAATTGGGTTAAGGCAGATCCTCATAATATCATTATATTACTATGGTATATAATGTTACTAATGTATAATATTTAGAAATCTAAGTTTATTTACATTATATATAATAATAAGGTATTCTGTTTAATAGTAATGCCAGTAACAGCTATTTGCATAGATGGTGCATTCCTATCGCAAATGTCCCAGCCACTGTCAACACTTACAATTGCTTTTTGTTGTCCCACGTGGAGCTTATTTTCCATGATTTTGATGCAAAGTTAACTGTTTATCTTAGACAGTCTCTAGGAAGCTGCTACTGTTACTTCTCGTGTACCAGGCACTGTCCTAAGTGGTTTATTTATTTAGTCCTTACAGTGATCTTGTTGGTTGATGCCTTTATTATCCCCATTTAAGAGATGACAAAACTGAGGCACAGAGACATTAAACTGCAAGAGGTCACACAGTGAGTGTAGCACTGGGATTCAAATCCAGGTCATTAGTCTGAGAATTCCTGTTCCTAATCCCTGTGTTAAACTGCCTTCATTCACTTCAGCTACTTTGCAGATGCTGTGCCTGTGCCACCATGGCAAGCCTTGGTGTTCCCAGACCTCCATGGCTGCACACTCAGCCCACCATTCCCTGGGCACCAGGCTGTGTGCTGGTCTCTCCTAGCCTCAGAGGGTGGTTCTCCCGCAAACTCCCAGGGGCACCTGCGGCACAGGAGGCGCTTTGTGCTTCAAGCTCGTACATTCTTTAGAAAGTAAAAATCAGCTTCTCATTTTAACGATGACACAACCCAGAGGTGAGGTTCCTGTTATCACACGGAGGAAATCTGGGTGGAGGCGAATGAGTCGTAAAGCCAAGCAGCGGGCCGTGAGAGCTCTGTGTAATTTCACACTGCGGGAGGGGGTGGCTGCGGTTAACCCCAGCTGGCAGGACAAGTTCACCTACCTTCTATTCTGCAAGGGCGGAGCTGGGAGGCGTCATGCCGGAATTTGTTATCACTATTACAGTTCCTGGATTTCAGCTAATGTATTTATGCACATGCACATTGAAATACATAGGAATTGGGGCACTCAGACATCTCACTGGCGTTTATAGCCACGGCCACTGTTCTGGACAAAGAGAATTTGTTTCCGGCCATGCTTCTGTTCTTACCGAGAAACTTGCTCTGCTTCCCTGTTTTCCAAGGCACAGAGGTGGAATTTCTCCCTTGGTTCCGCTGTTCTCACCCTGTCCTTCCCACAGGCCCCAAACATCTGCCCACCTCTCGAATGAGCTGTGCTACTCCCACCTCTCTCCCTTGCTCTGGCCCCCGCCTCCTCTCACCTGGCAACTCCTATTCATCCCTCACAACCTGCTCCAGGGATACTTGTGCTGGGAATTGCCCCTGGCTGCCCCCTCAGTGTTCCTGCACTCCCAGGCTGTGGAATGTGGCAGGCTGAGCAGCAAGCATTGTCTGCAGGTCAGCATCCCTGTGGCCTGCAAGCAGCTCCGGTATTTTTGTATGCCTGACACTTTGAGCACAGAGCTGGCCATTTTTCTTTAAATGAAGGACTTGCGCCCCCTCTTTTTACTGTCCGATTGCATTTCTTTCCCGAGGAGGGTCTGTGGATAGTAGATAGAATACCAGATGGGGGATCTGGAATGCCACAGTGTAGGCTCCATGAAAACACCTGTCCTGTGGCCCCAGAGCCTGCAGTTTGGTCGATGTTCATTCAGCTGCTGTCAGATGGTTCCCTGAATGAGCACCATGGTAATGAGGCCAGGCTGTCAGCCTCGGTTCAAACCCCTGTTCCATTGATGCCAGGCTTGGACAGCTTCCTCGCCCCTTCTGAACCTGTTTTTCTCATCTATAAACTAAGGGTAATGAAAGTATCTATCTCATAGGATGGCCGTGGAATTAAACAAGCTTAGCCTAGTGTCTGGCCCATAGCAAGCCTACAATGGTGGTTGCTAGTGTCATTAATAATGAAAAAAGTTAATCACAGGATGTGTGCTGGAAAGGAGACCAACAGGCTATCATGAGGACGAGATGCCGGGTCCTTTAGACAGTCCAGTCAGGGAAGGCAGCCTGTGCGCTGAGACAAACTAGAAGGATGCTGCAGGGTGATGAGTTGGAGAAAAGGGCTTTCTGGAGGGCAAGTGCAAAGGCCCTGGGGCAGGAAAGGGCTTGGTGGGGAAGAGAAAGTGTGACCAGAGCTTGGGAGGAGGGAGGAGAATAGAATGAGATGAGGTCCAAGAGGGAGACATGGACGAACAGATGCAGCTCCTTGTAGACCAAGGGACAGTGTTTGGGTTGAATTCATAGTGTGAAAGAAGCCATTCAGTCCTTATGCTCAGAATCAATCTGTGGGATTGGTTCCTGGACTGTGTCAGCTTTAGCCCATCCTGTGTTCTGTGTCACCAACTAACCCCTGGCAATAAAACCCAGTTCTGATTGCTTTAAGCAGAAAATGAATTTATTAAAGGGCATAGGAGGCTCAGGGGATTTTGGAGGGATCAGGGAACCAAGAACAACCCCAAATCATACACTACCATTTCTGTACCACTGCTGCCACTGCTGGGCAGGTGTAGCTCCCATGGCCTGCACCACCGATGGTAGTCACAGAATGCGGTGCTCAGGCTGCCCTTGTGAGCGGCCGCCACCCTCACTGGGGCAGGGCCTGCAACATCCCTGCTGCTTTGCATGCCAGCTTCTGGTGCCAAAGCTGAGGGGTCGTCTGATTGGCTGAGCCTGGCTTATGCTCTCATGCCCGAGCTGCAAGGGAGGCTGGGAAAGCCAAGGGTGGAGTCCTCGTCTCCTCCTGTAGAATGTGGGCTCTGGTTCATGAGCTGGGGCTTCTGCAAACCTAGGAAGAGGGCTGAGCTGCACCATATTCATCCCAGAGACACGTGGAGTGACTCAGGGATCACTTGGCCTCAGCAACATTTCTCTGGCACTTTAAGAAAAACCTGCTTTTCCATTAGACAGTGATTTAAAAAAATAGTGCTGAATTTGTAAGCCACTATTTCTCAGTCTGATGAGAGGCTAGGAACTTTTTCTTTTTTTAAATTGGTTTAGGCTGTACCGATGTGTAGGGTAGCATGTTTCTTCCATGTTTATCAGAGATATGCATTCCTGTTGGAAATGCCCTAACCATTGTCAGTGCTCATAATTACTTCTTGTTATGGCTGCCTGGGGCTTATTGTCCAAGGTTTTGTTGCAAAGTTTATTGTTTATCTTATACCGTCTCCAGGAAGCTGGTGAGGAAATCTCTGAGCCTTACCAGGAAGTGTGACTTAAAGGAACAGCTTCCAGGGCAGAGCCCTAAGGGGGAGGGTGGGGATGGCGGGTGATGGAGCTTCTAACCAGAATCAGCTTCCTTTGGGTGGGAGTTAAGAACCCTTTTCTGAGTATAATCCTCCCCCTACCCACTTTGTTTGCTTGTTTACAGGGTTTTGGTGATTCCTTTCTGATTCTAGTGTAAAGAAAAAAGAAGCAATATTGATTCTTCAAGTACACATGGATATACACCAAACAAAATAAACCAAAAAAACACTTTTCACTGTTGTGTAGGCAGAACGAACGCTTTGAATCATGGGTGCAAACACCCTTTTCAATCTCTTTGTATTTTCTTAGGGGGTATTTTCATAGAAGACTTGGACTTTTAAGATGGATTTCAAGGAAGTCAGCACTATAGCATTTAAAAAACAAATAGGATTTAGGCTTTAACTACCTTCTCATTATTCCCCCTATTGGAAGGAAGAAGGGAAATGGGAAATTGCAGATTTCTATTGCCTTTTTCATATTAGCTGCCCAGTTGACAGCTCTCCTTCAAATCAGGGTAAAAAATCAAACTATTTCAGATTTGGTACTGACTTTTCAACTTGCTAACAGGAAATTTTGAACCAATGTCCATAATTATACCAAAAAAAACTTGGGAAAAAAAGTAGGTAAAGAAATTATTATTATGCTTTTCATGTCTTTTATTATGAAAAAACTTAAACTTGCATAAAGAATAGAATTGTGTGATGACCCCAAAGTCCCCATCCTCTTTTGTTCTGCTTTTAAGCACATTGCTCAGAGCTCTATGGCACTGTCTACAACTCTGTGAGGGATAATGGAATCATTCCTGTTTAACGGATGAGGAAACTAAGGGTCAGAGAAGTTGAGAAGTGATTTACTAGATCATTCAACTAGCAAATGGCTGAGGAGAAGCCAAGAACCACAGAGCTTCCATATTAACTTACTGTTCATTATTAAAGCCAGCCATGTGTTCCCAGAAATTATCCCTAAGGAGATGTCCAGAGTCAAAGTAATAATGAGAAACTTTTTCATAAAAATGGTTACTGTTTTTGTCACACATGCTTAACTCAAGTTCAGTTTGTTAAGAGTTGTGTTTTGATAGAAGCAACTTACTTTTTAAAATCCTCTCAGTAGTCAAGTGTTGGAAATGTCAGCCCCCAACCCGCACATGTTCAGATTTTCCACTTCTAATCAATTTTGACAGTATAGTACCAAATAGGGTAAATCTCATTTCCAAGTAAGGAAATTCTTTGGCTGATAGATATCAGCTAATTAGTTTGTAAACCTTTCTTTTTCCTAAGAATTGGGCAGAGGTCAGCAGCCTGCTGGAGTTTCACTTTTAACTTTGATGGTATCACGAAGGGGACTCGACAGTCCTTTGAAAAAGCTGTATTCAGGGTGTTCATGTCTCTAAAAAATATATTTCATGAGCTTGCTTGCTAGCGCCCTGGTCCGTCCCACACAGGAATGCCTTCGGCTGTCCTTGCTTGTGTTGGTAAAGGAAGCAGAGCCCAGAGACCCGGCCGGGGGCCGCTTCATACCGCCCCGCGGAAGACAGCTTCCCTCATTTTGCATTTGCTTTTGAAAATACCTATGTATTAGTTCCAAAAATAATGCAAAAGTCCAGATTTGTTTAGAGAAAAAACAACAACAACAACACAACACTCAAACTATTGCTTGCAAGAAAACCAGCAAGATAAGCAGGCAAGATGAGCCATGATTAGCAACCTGTTGAGATTTCCATGTTCAAGCCTCAGTTATTTTTAGTTCTTGTGTTGAAACCACAGATGAAGACTCCTCTCTTCATTCATTCCTGACCTGGGGCAGCCAGGTCTGCGCCTTCATTCTTCTCATCCTTCTGTATCTTGTTGAGCTGGGACATCAAGCTAGGCTCTAGGGAAGCATCCATATTTTCAAATGGTCCAAGTCTCTTGAGTTAAGCCACCTGCATCCAGCCACCCCTAGCCTGGAGCGGGGTCTGGACCCCAAATTCGTCCAGGGGAGCTGAGTAGCTGTTCAGGGTTTGCCTGGATTAATCACATGTGAAGCTGTGCAGTGAGTGTCTGACCGCGAGTAAACTCCCAGGCACTGAATTCTTTGAGGCTCTTCTTACGCCGTGCAGTGCGGTGTGCCTCCTCCCTGCCAAGTTAGCAACGCCGAAGAGTATGACTGTACCTCCCCGGCCACCGTAGCACACTCTTGTTTTCTCTTGGTCTTACCTGAATTTGACAACAGCCTTAGACACCAAGATCTGTGAAATAACACTTTCCTGATGGTGGAACCTTGCTTAAATCAGTGTGCAATGTACTATTTTAATTTGGTCACTGCTACTATCCCATTTTAATGAGATGGTTCTGCCACCTATTTTTCAATGCAGTTTGTGTAAGTACTTAGAAATGTAGAGCATCAAATGGGATATGGTCAAAGACTCCAAAATTCCCAGTGATCTCCGGGCTTTTGTGAAACCTATGGCTTCTTGTGTACAAACAGGAAAGAAACTGAGGGACCAGAATAGCATTCAGATGAAGTCTCTTGAGTTAAGCCATCTGCATCCAGCCACCCCTAGCCTAGAACCGGGTCTGGACCCCGCATTCGTCCATGGCTCACGGGGAGGGGTGCAGAGCAGTTGTTCAGGGTTTGCTTGAGTTAATCACATATGAAAGAACTGTGATGAGTCACCAGCTTTTAATGAAGTTGTTCTGCTGAAATCTCACCATTTTGTTTTATGTAAGTGAACTTATCACAACCCTGACGAATATGTTTCTTCTAGTATTTTTGCTGAGAAAACTGCTTGAAACTTCTCAACAGAAAATGCCCTGAGGTATTAGAGTAACAACAGAGGAAACACATCCCTTCAAGTTTCAGCAACACAAGATGTGTGGTGGTATCTTTGCTGAGTCCCCGTTTGGGCACTCATCTTTGCAGAGTCCCTTAGAGGTTGGCACCAGTATTGCTTTTTTAGCCAGGTGTGGGAAAACAGGGGCCAGATTTTGCACTGGAGGTGCCTTGTAGGTAATTCCCCATGTATTGATACGTAATGATTCAGCTCCACACACTTAAAGAAAAATACTGTAGCCTGAGAACCTCCGCCCCAAGAGGTCTTAGGTTTTTTTTTTCTTTTTAGCATTTCACTCTAATCCATGTAGACTTGATTTTGGAGTGTGTGAAGGGCTTTAAAACCAGGCTTTTCTTTCCAAGAAATGCCTTGTCCCATTTGTTAATGATCCTTTTCTCCTGCAGGCCAACATGTATCATGAGTCAAATTACTGAATATCATAGGGCAGGTTTCTGTCTGTTACAGGGCCTTGATTCTGCAGCAGGAGCTCTGAGGTCAGCCCCACTCCCCACCCTGCCACCTCTAGGCCCACTTGTTAGCCTCCTGCCACCTGTTTGAGTCTCAGTTTTTTAAAATGTGTACAGTAGAGATAATAGTAAGGGCACCTTGGGTCCATCATAAAGACCCAAATGAAAAAGCACATGATAGGTTCTCATATTGAAACATCAAAAATCTGCAGTCGCCATTTCTGGTTTTAGTAATCATTGCTTTAGGATGTTTTAATATCTGCGCACAGGTGCACTTTAATCACATGAGTTATGCTCTCCATGTTGGCAGAGGTACAAGGAATGAGTAAGTGAGAGGTGACATTTCAAATGCATCTTTCACGTTTGCAGAAGGTCCCAGGGCAGGGGGCTAATGAATGAATGCCACGGGGTGCTCTGCAGCGTGGTCTAAAATGTGTATGATGTGGAAGGATGCCTGGAGATGGTCAATGAAAAAAGCAAGTGGCAGGAAATTGTGATCATTTCTGCTTTTGAAAATAGAAATAAAAAATGAAATGTTACACACAACAGCTCGTGTGTTTAGGTAGAAGGAAAATGTCTGAGAGGATCACCCCCCAAAAGGTTGCAAATTGGTGGCCTTTGGGTCAGAGCCTGCCAACAGCTGTGTTTTGTGTGGCCTGTCCAGCATTTAAAAATTGATGGAGTAGTTGCCAGCCTTTAAAAATGGAGAGATTTCATGTAACCTGGGAATTTCCAGCTTTCCTTGATGAAACAGAATGTCCGGTCACCCTGGGCCACAGTCGCTGGCAACCCCGAGAAGCTGACAGTGACCTAAAGCAAATGCCCACATGGCGGCTCGGTGCCCCCTCACGCCCCAGCTTTTCTTACTCCAGGCCCTGCAAGCACTTGGGCTTGTGACCCCCTTGCCTACGTCTGGTTTTGACGTGGGTGCCACTGGCAAATGGGGTTGGGTGGGGAAGAAGGCAGGGCTCTGGGAAGCCTCACTTTTTACAGTGTGTACTTCTGTATGGTTTGAATGCATTGTAATGATGCTGTGTTACTTTTAAATTTTAAAAATCAGTAGAAAAACACCTTTGAGTACTTGGTAGGATCCTACATGCCACGCAGAGGAAACCCACATTCCTGTTCCTTTATAAGCTCCTGTTAGAGAGCTCAGAACGAACTTGAACCCGCAGGGCAGAATCCTCTTGTTGAAATGCTCGTCCATGCCGCCCTCTGCGTGGACCGAGTTCATCGCTGGAGCTCCGGCCCAGGCCGGAGCAGGGGCATCAGAGGCGGTGGCCAAGCCCTGCTCTCTCCTTCCTCTCCTCCTGCCCTTCTCCCTCCTCCCCTGGTACCTGCCCTGGTGCCTGCCCGGTTTCACCTCTCCCACAAAGTGCTGCAGCCTACAGCTTTCGTTTCTTCTTTCTCGTTTGCAGCCAGCAGCCAGCAGCCAGCAGTGAGGCTTAATCATTCTAGGATTAGTTCACGTGAATGTGCCCTCCCTTCCCAGAAAAGACATCAAGTCTGTTGTGCCACTCACCTCACATTTCCTTCAGACCCCCACTGGGGTGATCCTGGCCTGGCTGCTGGGGCTCTGCGAAGTTTGCTTGCTGGGAAACGCTCCTGGAGAGGGCCGGCCGGGCTGGGGCAGCTCCCACAGGTCCTCAGGAGGCGGATGGGCTTCCTCAGCAGGGCTGCCATGAAAGCTGGCTCATCCTGGTTTACGTACAGGCCTCTGCAAATTCAAGACCTTTTCTATGCAGGAGGCTGGGGCCGGAGGTCTTTTTAGGAATGCCTCCCCTTTCCCTCCCCCACCACCAGCCACCCCTCCCCCCCCTGGCTTGCTCTGTGGGGAGTCAGGCTTTTGGAAATAGGGGGTCCCAAGGACAAACTGAAATTCCCCTCTTGCAGACACCGCTGTTTGACTTGCACACATGACTGAGCATTTCCTGGGTGCCAGGCCCGGTGGGTGCCACATGTGAGCCTTGAGATGACCCAGATGGTTGCCTGAAAGACCTGAGCCTTTCCTCAGTGATTTCACTTCCTTCTTTATCCAGACAGATGGGCCCCTTCACACTCCTTGAAGCGAGACCTGCGCCCGTCAGAGCAGGGCTGTCAAAGCATGGGCTTGGCTCCCAAGCAGCCTGGGGTCTGCACCTCCCTGCCATTGCCCTTGCCAGTTCTTTTGCCCAGAGCACCCTCAGAAATCTGCCCACGTATCTCTAGCTCTGAGAAACCTTCCCAGACTTTGTCCCCATAAAAATGCATTTGCCAGGCACAGTTTTTTTTCTTGACCCCCTTAACAGTTTTTGCAAATTCCTGGCAGCATTTATTTTATTCTCTGGTCACCAGTGGTTCATCTTTGTGCAGCCATGGCGATCTTCTGGAATGTCTGCAGGGCAGAAGGCCCTCTCCAGAGGCCCTCTGTTAGGGGCCACACCACCAGCCAGGGTGAATGGCGAGAGGCTTTCTTGGAAGCTCTGCAGTTGGATCCTGGAGTGGAGCTGGCTGTTTACACGAGCCCTCTCTTTGCCGGGCCGCCCACTTTACCCAGGGCTAGGATACGCAAAAGCTCTTTAAAAAGCTGTGCATTCTTGAAGAAGGCCTCAGGAAACCCTGGGCTAAATCTCTGCAACAAGAAGTTGCAATCAGAAAGATTTTTGCAAACCAAACACTACCCGCCTTAGAGAATTAAAAAGAAAAAATAAATAATCGAAAGCCGCACTGAATTATGTCTCCTTGGGTTTGAAACCCTCTGCCACTATGCAAGTGTGGGAGGGGTGGATGGACAGTGTCGGTTTGTTTGTGGGGAGGGATTGAATGGGGCATAGCTTTCATCTGAAACCTTGTAGTTCACTGGGAGACGGGACATCTCACCCAGGAAACCTGGTTTTGTAAATTTTGCAGGGGTCTGGGGCAAGGTGTTTGCCCTGGCAGTATGCCCAGTTCCTAAAATGGGAAATGCCAGCTGTGAGTTATTCCCACCATAATTGGGAAAAGCAGTCAGGCGTTTTGTTATCCACGTCAAAAGCCGAAAGGGAGGTTTCCAGAGCAGCCCTTTGAAAGGGGCTCTGAGGAGAAGCTTTGCCTAAGGCAGAAAGAAACGGACGGCTGTGGTGTTCACCACCACTCTCACTTACTGAGTTGCTGTGAAATTGGGATTGAGTGTGGGCTCTGTCCCCTGGCACGGCTCCTGATGCGGGTGAAGCTCAAGTGAACTGCGGGGATTCCTCTTTGAACACACCAAGTTCCCCTGCCAGCGCCCCTTCTCCATCCACTCCAGCCCAAGGTTTCTGTCTGCAAAGGTCCAGACTGGAGGCATGATGTCCCAGCAGCAAACCCTTCAGAGCTGCCACAGCACCCAGCGTGGCTGCAGGTGGGGACCCAGTCTCACTGTTTCCTCCAGGCTGAATTTCTGGTGTGCCCGGATGCCAGAAGGCAGAGTGGCAGGCGCGGAAACTGCCGGAGGTGGGGAGCTCCGGGCTGGTGTGGCTCTGGGCCTCTGACGCTTGTAACCGATGACCCCCTGTCACTTCCTGTCATGCAGCCCAAGTGGCGGGGTGGAGGCCCTTCAGGGAGAGCATGCCCTACTCTGCTCAGACAGTCCTGGGCGCGGGGTCCGGCAGCCCCCGGGGCGGGACCCTCCGGGTGGGCGAGGTTGGAGCTCCCCATGGTGTGGTGCTGCCTCTTTGTCCGCACGCAGGTAAGTGCCCTGCTGCCGAGCTGGGGTGGGTGTGGGAGAGGAAGCTGTCTCTCCAGCTCCCCAAAACTGAGCAGGGCACTGCTGTTAAGAACAGCTGGGCTGACAGAGGCAGACTTCTGCCGCCCTGGAGTATGAGCCCGGAAAAGAGCCGTGTGGTTGTGTTTCAGACCCCAAGTGGTGTGCTTGCGGGAGATGGCGAGCCACACGGGTGCCTAGCTGTCAGCGCCTCCCTTAGCCTCTGTGCGTGGAGGAGAGCAAGGGGGGGTGTCTGTCATTCCTGCTCCGCAATCCTAGTCTCTTAATTTTTATAAGAGACCTATTTTCAGTTAATGGGAAGGAAAAGAGAGAAAAAAGGATGCAGCTGCCTTCTGCTGTTTTGATTTGTTTTTTAATCACAAAGTGGATTTCCAAGCTCTTCTCTTCTTCGGATTGGGAGATGGCTGAACTCAGTTTTGGAAGTTCATTCCGCTCCCAGCAACTTTTTCGTTGGTTTCCTTAAAGCGATCCTGGTGTGTTGGATGTGTCCATCGTTGGGAAGATGAAGTGCGATGACAGCCAGGGAGCCTCAGGCTCGCTGGAGTGGGTGCCTGGTCTGGGTTATATTGGAAGGAGCAGCTGGAGATGTTGTATGTCTATGGGCTGAAGAATGATTAGGATCGAAGCTCACATCTGTCCCTTTATTTAAGTTTGTTTGTTTGTGGGTAGGTATTCAAGCTTTGGATAGACCAAAACTATTCTCTAAAGGAAACGCTCATTGCTTTATCTATTCCTCTCAGCAAAATTATTTTTGTAATGTTAATTCCATCTTCTCATGTGTTTTAGGTGGAGTCACTGTCTTTCTCCTTTTCCGTGTCCCTTACCTAGCTAGTTTACCTGAGGAAGAATTTTTGAACTTTTCAGCAATAGTTAAGGCAACATTAATAAAAACCACATGACAGCTAACATTGATTAGATACTTTTTATGTTACTAAGCACTTTACTTGCGTTGCTTCATGAAATTCTTACCACCCTGTGGGTATTTTTTACTCTTATTCCCATTTTTCAGGTGGTAAAACTGAGGTTTAGAAAGGTGAATCGTTTGTCCAAGGTCACCTAGCAGGTTAGTAGTAGATCAGGCCCAGGCTCAGGCAGAATGGATCCAGAAGTGACATTCTTAGCCACCAGGCAGTACTCGGTGATCAATGATGGGCCCCCTCCGCACCTCTCCTGTCACGTGCACCATCTTATGTAACACTTTGCTTTGCCATCCTTTGGCACATCAGCCTGTTTTGGTGGATGTTTGTTGTGATCCAATTAGCGCCTACGTAAGAGGCCCCTGTCACAAGACATAGCCTTGTCTGGACTCAGTTTCCCCACCTGTCAAGCAGACATGTCTCTAAACTCATTTTAGCTCAGATATGAATCTAAAGTATGCAAATATCTTGCAAAAAAGTAAAAAAATAGTTCTCCTTTCTCCCCTGTTTCACAGTGAAATGATGTCATAGGTGCTTTTAAACACGTATTTCCTCAAGGGTGTCAACTGAAACTCATAACGTCAGCTGAAACTCAGCTGGCTGGCTGCTGACTTTTTTTGCTCTTGAAAATATTAATGAATTTTATTGCTTGCCTCTGAGAGTCTCCAGAGAGAGGACTTGGAGGAATTGGGGCTGAGTGTGGGAGGTGCAATTGGTAACCAGATGTGGAGAGAGGAAAAAGGAGGCGAGAAACCCCCTAAGGATCATGGAAATCCATCCTCTGAGACTTAGCCGAGGTAGTTCTGGGTCCGCGGCGAAGCAGCAGGGTGTAATGGTTAAGGGCGTGGCGTTTAGAGCCACGTAGACGTAGCTTTGGGTCCCAGCTTTGCCTTTCGTTAGCCGTGCATTCCTAGGCACATCACCAAATCTCTCCGAATCTGTTTCATCCTGTGTAAAATGAGGAGAATAAATAGAGTTGTTATGAAGACCGAATGAAGTGGCCGATGCCCGTGCCTGGCTCGTGGTCAGCATTCGGTGAACATGATCTATGTCTCAGTCCTCATGACCACAGAATGTGTTGGCGGCCGCCCACCAGAGAAATGAACCCTGGGTGTGCAAGGGCTTACCCGCCAAGGGCCGTGATGCATCTTATATCCTGAGACGAACATGGCTCTGGTGTGAGTTTTCGGAGGGAGGGAAGCAGCATATCCCATGGAAGGTCAAGACTACATTGTAAAGTCCCGATGTGAGCTATGTTTTTACAGCTTTCCCAGAACACCAAATGGGAGCCCTGGAAGGGGAAGTTGATTCAGACCCAATCCTAAAAAGGCCTGTCTTGATGGAACACTTAGAGGTCTGACTCGGAGAGGGCAAGGTCAGGGTGGTGCCCTGAGTGTCCCCTGAGACAGAAGCAATGGGTGACTTTAGGACCGAAATATAGACCCTGTGGATGTCGCCTGGGGAAGACAGCTCCCAGTGCTGGCGGGGTAGAGCTCAGGCCGCGGTCCTGGGGCACCAGCCCTCCTCCGTCAGCCCTCTGTTTCTGAGTATTGTCTGGATTCTAGCTGCTCTGTATCCTTTGAGCACCTGCCTCTGTCAGGCAGCCTTGTTTATGTCCATCTCTTCCCTCCCAAGTCTTCCTGTGGCATTTACCACCTCTGCCCCTGTCCCTTGCAGACCCCACCCAGCCCCTGCCGTGAACTCCAGCTGTCCTGGCCACAGTGCCACTCATAGAGCAGGGACGAGAGCCCTGGGCTGGAGTCAGGAGTTTGGGGTTCAAGTTCTAGGTTTTGCAGTTGACCTTGGGCAATGCCGAGGTGCCTTGGATACCAGGTTCTCCAGTGGAGACATTCCTGGTAGGCATCCGGGTTCACATGCTCACTGTACTTTACCTTGGGCAAGTTCCATGTCTCTCTGGGCCTCTGTCATCTCACCTGCAAAATGGAGATGACAATAGTATGTGCCTCAAATGGTATGAAGAGGTTTATAAAATAACACCTGTGAAACCCTTAAAACAGTGCATCTCGTCAGTGCTCAGAAATGCTGACTACCTATGATTATGATTTGTAGGAAAATGAGAGTGAGATGGAACACTGTTCCTTAAACTTCAGTCATGTTTTCCTTATCCACACACCCCTTGTCCTATTATTTTTCATTTACCCTTTTTCTTTAAATTGTCTAGGTTTCACCTATTTTTTTCAAATGTACGCTTATCCTAAGCAGTGATCATCCTGAACTCACTGTACACTATGATGTGTTTCCTATAACACATTATAATAAATGCATCTGGGTCTGTCACACTGTGATCTGAAATGATGTGTCACCACCAGGTCCACTTCCCACACATTGGGCACCACAGAACCAGTGGCTCTGAGCATCTGAGGCCCTGGTTGCTGCTGGCAAGTGATCTTGACAGTGTTCATCCCACCAGAATGAACAGTCAGCCCATCCTTCCATTCATCGGGCCCTGCCTGAGAACCAGCTTTATGTGCCTGGTGTCTTGACGGCCAAAATGCGGGTCTTTGCCACCCCCATTGTCTTCTGTGGTGAGACATTGCCAGCTCAGAAAAAGCAGGGTAGGGAGAGCCACAAAATGACCCGTTGCTGGAATTCCACCCTAATGAGAAGTAAGAGAAGCCAGGGCAATCCTTGCCTGCAATCTTTGGATGAGGGTAGACTGTCAGTCAGCTTCTGCTGAGTAACAACCATCCCAAAGTCAGAGGCAAGCGACAAGCGCTTACTGTATGTATGCTCACAGGTGTGCAGGTGGGCTGGGGCCATCTGCCCCACGCGGGCCCATTAGCTACCCATGCATATATTCTTCTCTGGTGGAGGTCAGGTGGTCCCAGAGGAGCAAGAGAAACACGACATTGCCAAGCGTCTTGGCTCCAAATTGGCACCCTGTCCCTTCCACCCCTCTTCCCTTGGCCAGAGCAAGTCACAGTACGAAGCCACGGAGGTCAGGAGAGAGCCAACGTTTGCTGAAGAATGAATTACTCTACCACTGGATCATCACCATTGACTCACTCGGCCTGTGTGCACTGAGTACCTACTATGCAGTGTTCAGGAAGGATGACCATGGTAACAACAAATGGTGGTGATGAGACCATCTACCCCGAGCCGGGAGTGACTAAGGTCCTAAGTAAATCTGTGGCAAAAGCCTGGCTCTGTGGCTGCTCCTATGGGTTACATCATTCTGTCCTCCCAGCCCTTGCTGCGTAGGGCCCATCACCCTGGCGCTAACCAGTGGGATACTGTCTTGGCCTGTTAAATGCTTGGTCTTCCGACATGAGAGGGGAGAACTGGTGAGGACACGCAGTTGGGAGAAGCCGTGCAGAGACCATCCCTGATGGGGCGGAAGAGGCAGGCTTTGCACCAAAGGGCCTGGGTTCGAATCCCTTGTGTGTTTATTCCCACAGACACTTTGTCTTGGGTGCTAACTGTTCAGGCACCCACCAGGTTCTAAGAATTGTACTAAGCATGGTTCCTGGCCTGTCATGGTTTCTGTCAATCACTAGCCCTCTGCTTTCTTGAGGTCACATGCAGCTTTGAATGTTCTCCCCAGAAACCTGCAGAGCTGTGGCAATTTCTGTGTAGACCCATGGACCCAGGAAGAGTTCTCTGCTGCAGTTATCCATTCCATCCTCTTTCCCTTCTCTTTCCACCCTGAAGAACTTCATGCAGTGGAAGAGACATTTTTTGGTATTTGTATGCCAGTGTCAGGCTCAGGGTCTGACCCATATTAATTGCCCAGTGAGTGTTTCTTAAATGAGAGAAAATGAGCATGAAGGTGTTGGTGATTCCTTGTCTGCATGTGCACTGGGTCACAGAACCTTCTGGGTGGAT